TGTTACATTGTGACATGATTTCATATTTGTGAATAAAGCTTATAAATATAAAACTTGTGTAAAATCTAAAATGGTTAAGAAGCCTTATCAAAGTTTGAACAAGACTTTTCATATTTTAGAACTTATTCATTCAGACATATTTGAACTAAATGATATGTTAACTAGAGGAGGAAATATGTATTTTATTACCTTCATAGATGATCTCTCTAGATATACTTATGTTTATTTAATAAAAAAAAACATAAACATGGAGCATTTAATATGTTTAAAACCTATAAAAATGAAATTGAAAATCACTTAAATAAGAAAATAAAAACTTTAAGTGATAGAGAAGGTGAATACTTTTTTAGTGATTTTAACTTATTTTGTAAACAATAAGGTATAGTACATCAATGTTATGCATTGAATACTTCTAAATAAGTGGTGTCTTGCATATTGTAAAAACATGGACCCTAAAAGGACCAATTTAGGTCCAAGAGACATTAAATGTGCCTTTGTTGGATATGCTAGTAATAGTAAATCATATAGATTATTGAATTTGGAAACCAATGTGATGATTAAATCAAATAACATGGAGTTCTTTGAGCCTCAAAGAAGTAAAAAAATTCAAATAGAAAAGGCTTTAGGATCGGATGAAATTGATTCTCAACTTATTTCATTTTACTTAGTAGAGGGAACTGAAAAGAATGTTGTAAGAACTATACGTTTTGTTTTACAAGTGGGAACAAATTCTAAAACATATAGAGATGCTATCGCTTCTCGTGATAATATCTTTTGGAAAAATGCAATTAATGATGAGATTGATTCAATTATGTCAAAAAATATCTGAGAACTTGTTAATTTACCGGTCGGGTCTAAACCTATCAGTTGTAAATGAGTGTTTAGGAGAAAATATAGGGCCTGTCTGGAGCAGCTTAAAATCCAATTTTCAGCAGAATTAGAGCCGTTCAGGGGCCCGTCTTTGCAGCCATTGTTGACATGTATCTCACATGAATTTTGGGAAATTGTGCTCCAACGGATGAATAATCAATTTTCACTATTTTTGAAGCTGCTCCAGGCAGAGTCATAATGTAGATAGTTCTCTTAATAACTTTAAAGCTAGATTGGTAGCTAAAGATTATCGACAAAAGGAATTGACTATTTTGATACTTATGCACCGGTAGCTAAAATAACATCAATTAGGATATTATTCGCATTAGCATCCATACATGACTTGCATATTTATCAAATGGATGTCAATACGACATTTTTTAACGGGCATCTCGATGAAGAGGTTTATATGGAGCAACATGAAGGGTTTGTTCTACCCGAAAGTGAACACAAGGTATGCAGCTAATAAAATCACTACATGGTTTAAAACAAGCACCTAAGAAATGACATGAAAAATTTGACTTAACAATTATTTCATTCGGGTTTATACGTAATAGTGTAGATAGGTGTTTATATTCGAAAGTATGTGATAAAAATGTTATATTTTTTTGTTTATACGTTGATGATATGTTGATTTTGAGTAATCACATGAATTGAATAAAAGAAACAAAGATGTTTCTATCTTCCACATTCAAAATGAAAGATTTTAGACAAGTGGATACCATATTGGGTATCAAAGTTACTAAGAATAGTTGGGTACTATTTGAGTGAATCACATTGTATCGAGAATGTGACAAATAAGTTCAAAAATTTGAATATAAAAGAGTATGATACCCCTCTTGATCCAAGAGCATTTGTGATTAGTAAATTTAGTAGGTTTACTAGTAACCCGAGCAGAAACATTGGAAGGTCATTGATAGAGTTTTTGGTTATTTAAAGAAATAGGTCTTCAATATTCTAAGTTCTTAGCTATATTAGAACGATTTACTGATCCTAGTTGGATAATTAGCACCAGTGAGAGTAACTCTATTTCGGGTTTTCTTGAAAATCTAAAAAAAAATAAACATGCATAACACATTCAACCATGGAATCTGAATTTGTTGCATTATCAGACACCGAGAAAGAAGTTGAGTGGCTTAAGAATCTACTATATGAGATATCTTTGGGACCAAAAAATATATCTTCGATATCTATCATGTGTGATAGTCAAGTCACATTAGCAGAGGCATACAATAAGTTATACAATGAGAAGTCTAGATATATGAGTCTAAGACATGACTACGTAAGAAAATTAATCAAGAGCGAAATAATTTCTCTAAATTACGTTAAGTCAATGAGAACCTAGTGGATTCTTTAACTAAACCTCTATCTTCTTTGAGTAGGATGAGGTTGAAAATCTTAAACTAAAAAAGATCTACCAATTACGGCAACCCTACTTGTCATTACTAAAATAGAAATCAACAGGTTCAAATGGTAACAACACATCATTAGATAAGTGGATAGTTTCAGCATTATAATTTTTCAAGAACCCTATCTTAATTTTATAATGCTGGTTGTTACTTAATGGAGGGTTGAGCTTTAAAACTCTTAATGAAGTTTAGTACTAAGTACAAATATATCTAAAAGTAACAGAGATATTGGAAAAACTTTACCTAAATAAACTTCGAGATAGTGCAACCTCAATATATAGTTGGAGTTTCTCTCTTAAAATTTTAATGGATAGGATGAGCGCAAGACCATATTAACGCTAAGTGAGTTTGAGGAACTTGTGAACATATGATATTTGTGTGTGTGTGTGTTTTCATCGGTGTTATCACAAGGAATAACAAGTTCAAAGCAATCATGCTACCTTTAATTTCGTTGATGCTTTGTGAATATTACATTACGGTTAGATTCAAATCGAAAGATATCTAATCCATATGCATAAAAATTGCTATTTTGAACGTGTATCAATATACAGTTGAACAAGTGGGGGATTGTTGAAATTTGGTGTTCAACTTATAATGATGAGTATATTGGAATGATAATACCGCCAAGTGAGTGCGTCGAGCAAGTACGAAAACACCGAAAGTAAAACAAGAAGAAAAAACGGAGGAGCTGGAATTTTGGTCTGGGCGAGTACCTAGGCTTAAAACTGGGCGAGTGCCCAACCTCGTTTTCAACAACCTGGCGATTGCTTAATTTTGTACTAGGCGATTGCCCATGCCAATTTTTTGATCGTTGGGATTGAAAATTTTAGTTCTTTTTTGGCATCTTTTCATGAAAAAATGCATTTTCTCATAAACCATGAAGTCTTTTCGTGATGTATTGATTGAAAACAACAAATCATTCCATTCATAGAGTGATTATCAAACTCTCATACATATTCAAACTTTCTTTGTGTTCATTGAATTTTAGAAGTAAAACACTAGTGCATATTTTCTTCTTCAAGGCTTTGATCAATCCTAAAAACCATTTGCCAAGAGTCCGTTTAAGCACTAATTTAATCCTAGAGGAGGCAAGTATCGTTTGAGAACAACAATATCGTGTTTGAGGGTTTCTATCGAGTTTTTGGTGTTCTTGATTCTTTATCTTTGTTCTTTTCTTCATTTCCCTTGAAGGATAATTTTCCAACATTTGGTGTAACTCATTTCGTCATCTTTGATTGAGTAGTTTAGCTAATAGTTTATTTGCAATTTCATTTTCTCCAATGAAATTTAAAAGTATTAGCAAACCACTTCTGAAAGCGACCTAATTTATTTGGAGATTTGATTAACTGAACAAGTTGACTTTATCTAATTTATATTTTTATAAGTAGAAACTAAAATGCAGCAATTTATTTATTTTATTATTATGCGGCCAATTTGAAATGGAGCTAGGAACTATCACAGTCATTCTGACTAATTTGGAGTTAAGAAGACATGGGTCAGTAATAGCTAGTTTATATGCCATTAGTGTGACTTTTGCTTAATCAGGTTCATGAAAACACTATATGTGACTAAATCTTTATATATGCTAGTCTCCCTCTGTCCCTCCCAACTTTTGGTTTATTGCATTCATGATTCTGTGTAAGTGCACGCTTGCCTGTGTATATGTGATGACCGATGTCTATATTTGTGCATCCTTCCCCCACGCCAGGCCTTTATATAGTAACAAAGGACTTTAATTAAGCTGTGAAAGGTAAAAGTCTTATATTGCATGTTTTCAGGGCTTCCATCGACTTCATAACGCTAATGCTACCACCTCTCAGAGCTTCAAGTTATCCCCCTTGAGTTCACCCGCTTATATTGTCAACCCTAGTTTATTTTATACACGGCTTTTCCTTCAGTTGGAATTCTAGATGAAAAGATAGAAATACTAGATGATATAGACAAACAAAAAGACTCAGCTGATATTTTGAGGAAATGGGGCTGTAGCGAAGATGATATATCCAAGATTTTTATGCGCCGTCCATCTTTACATAAAATGGATATCGAGATCCTTCAAGGCAAGCTTGAAATACTTACTGACTTGGGCATCACCTCCTTTGACCTCGTAAAAATCATACACTACCGTCCTCGATTCCTCAACTGTCGAATCAATCTATGGTTGAATGAACGCCTTGAATATTTTTGAGCCTTGTTTGGATCAAAGGAGGTCCTGCTCAAGGCTATTGTGCGCAATCCTTCTTTACTGACGTAACTGACCTATGACTTCCACAATAAAATTAAACCTGTCATTGCCATATACGAGAACCTGGGTGTTAGCAGAAGGGACTTGATTGCTATGCTTCTATCTCGTCCCACCTTAATTCCACGAACTATGCTAGACAATGAGAAGTTGGATTACATTTCTAGAACTGGGGCTCAAAGGAATCCAAGATGTACAAACATGTGGTTACTCTCTTTGCCATATCACGCATTGAGACCATTCTTGAAAAGGTGG